CATTTATTTGCTATCCATTTCACTGAAGATGATTTCAATGATGAATCAAGGCCAGTCAGCCAGATCTTAAAGGGGATCAAGGATGGAGGGGTGTCCATGGAGACCTGTGCAAAGGGCAAGGTTACGGTCCCCCGCAAGAGGCTGATGAATGAGCTTATGGATGTATCAGAGGTGTGAAAAATCAGCTGCTCTGTCTCCAGAAAATAGGAGAGCCTGTCTTCTTTTTAACCTTTGTAATTCCCCTTCTATTCTCTGTGACATTCATTCAGCTGCCAAGAGCGTTTGGCAAGGTTTGGGCCAGCAAGCACACTTCCAGTGACCGCTAACCTTGGTATGTCCTGACACTTATGATGAGTATCTGCAGGACACAGAAGGCAGGCAGCCTGCTATGTCAGGCTTTTATTATGTACTGCAGAGGCTAGGGACAGTCCGTTTAATAAAACAAATCATCCTTGAAGGTAAAGCAACTGGGAAGAGGAAGAGAAAGACAGGGAGAAAAAAAGTCTTTGCCACTCATTCTGATTTAAGATAATAATAATAATAATAATTAATATAGCAGAATAGCCACTCAAACCAACACAGTGTGTGTGCCTGCAACCCAGCTGTGGACTTAGCAAACTTGAAATGTCTTTCTCTCATTTCCCTGAAGACTTCAAGGCCTGAGGAATCTTGAGTACAAACAATTGTGGTGAAACTGGTAGATGCTGTTGGCCTGCCCCTTTTGCATGTACTCAAGTACCTCGTCACAATCCTATTCTCCAAATGTCAAGGCAAGACTATTTGGGGGTGAGGTTCCTATATTGGGATTGCTTTTTATCAAAGCAAAGTTTCCACTCTCCCCTCCTGAAGAACGCCTGGGCAAAGCAGCTCCCACAATAGCCTGAGAGTTTGAGCCAGAGGCTTTGGAAGCCTTTTGTTTTTTTTTCCCCCCTGTGGCATGTCCAAAGGCACAGCCTTCCCCCTCCTCCCCCCACCCCCAGCAGCCTGCATTGTCTTGCATTCCAGTGGCTTGATTGACTGTTGCCACCTGATGCTGAGGAGATAGACTCTAGGGTTCATTCTGCAGATTGTTGGGTTCTATTAAAAGAAACCTAGATAAGGGATTATTTGTCACTAAGGGATTTTCTGCAGATGTTTATTAATGATTGGAAAGCTATTGGATATGAGGAGGTGCAGAAAAATATGGGTAAGATCATGACCATAACCCTGAGTTCTAAGATGACCCCCCTGAAATGTGAAGAGGGCCTCTCCCATGCTCTAGTAAATGAAGGTGGGAAAGTTTTCATGTAGAGAGCAGAGGGTGCCTGTTTTCATGGGTGGAGGAAAGTCATAGGCATCCTCTTGGAAGATCAGTTGCTACCTGGCAGGGTACCTTTGGAGCCACCAAAAAAAGAAGTTGAGATGCTCCAGTAATAGAGGATCTCATTATAAAGTTCTTTTACCTAGCCTTGTCCATTTTGTTTGAGTTTTGCTTTAGAGCAAGAACTAAATTGGCAGAGAATTTCATTTGCATAAAGAATTCATCCATTTTCAACACTAAACAGGCAACCAAAGCTTCTTGCTGGGAATTCGTTACACCATTTCCATTTTTCTTGAAGTTAGTAGCTCCTTGGAAGTAGTTTTCTTCTCTGTTACAGATTCACAAATTCCCCGAGATATGATACCTTGGAAAAGGCCAAGTGGCAAAAAAAAAAAAAAAGCATTAAACCAGGTGCCACTCAGGAGGCTGAAATCTGAGGATCATTGTTCAAAACCAGCCCAAGCAGGAAAATCTATGAGACTCTTATCTCCAATTAACCCCCAGAAAACTGGAAGGGGCACTGTGGCTCAAAGTAGTAGAGTGCTAGCCTTGAGCTCAGGATGGCAGCCAGGCCCTGAGTTCAAGCCCCATGACTGACCCCCCCCCAAATAAGACATTAAGAAAGGAGCCAGCACAGTTTAATGGAGATACATGTATTTATATAAGTCTTTTTAATAATTTCTTCATCTCAGAGAATTTCATCATTTTTACATCCTTAAAATGATGCTTTCTGAGATCTCTGCTGACTCTTTCAATTCTCTTATTTTATCATTTTAAGCTTCTTTTTTTTTAACTATTGAGGGAGAATCTAAGTGTGACACCAGAGCAATCTGACTAAGAGCAAAAGGTGAAGTCCCATCATCAACTATTCTGTTTATCATATGGTTTTCCCCAAAAGACTTTTTTTTCTTTTTGCTTATGTGGTGCTGAGGAATCAAACCCAGGGCCTCAGGCATGCAAGGCAAGCGCTCTACCACTGAGCCACCTTCCCAGCCCTTCCCCAAAAGACTTTTGAGCACAATGGGTGAACACGGAATAAAACCTGTGACCCCTTATCTAACAACACGTTATGGAAAGGTAATTAAAGCTACCTGTGAATAGGTAAAAAGTTAAACATCAAGACACAGATACAAAGATATCCTAAGGCAGCCCACAATGAAGACCATACGAAATGAATGTTTAAAACAGGAGGCAAACCACCCAAACAACAAGAATGGTGAGTTATAAATTTATGTGGTCAAGTATACACCACCTCCAAAAGAATCTCTATGTTCTCATGCAAATCCCACAACCACCCTCTTTCCTCTGAGAGTTGTGCTCTTCTAGATGATTCTCCCTACTTTGACACTCTCCACAAGGTCCTCCTTCCCTGATTCCTAGGTCACATGACTTGCTGTGGGTGAGGCTTGGGGTGGGCAAGGCTTCCTGACTTCCAGCTTTCTTTGAAGCCTCTGCCCACATCATTCTTCCTTCAAAGCTCTCTGCCATGCTGCAGAGTTTCGTGGAGGCCTGTTGCCAAAGGTCAATGACAACCACACTTCTTGAAATGTTTGTTTCAATAAATGTCGACAGTTACGTTTCTGTAGCAGTTGGCTAACAGCTCCCAAACCAAGTAGTTAAGAGTGGGTAGTTACACTGCCTAACTGTGCTTCGGCCAGATTCCCTCTCTCAGCAATGCTCATTTGATAAAATGTGGAGGATTATCTTTGGGAAGAGCAGGAAAGAATACTCCAAAATACCTTAATACCTTTTCATTTGGATAAAGTGCGTGGGAGGGCTAAGCACTCCTCCAGCAAGTCCCCATGTGTCTATAGAGACTTTCACCAAGGATGATGTTGAAATCTCCAGATGAGATCACAGCTGCAACTGATAGTTCTCACCTCTATGGGAGCCAAGGCAGTGCTCTGGTGATTTCCCAGGAAACATTGGAAAAGGACTGGACAGATGGACAAATGTCAATGTGATCTGAGCGATTGTTCAAAATTCTCCCTTTTTCTAGATTCCAAAAGGAGACTTTTGTTTGTTTCTGGGGAGTTACTAGATTTTCCTAAAAAGCACATTGCTACTGAGAGCAACAAGCTTCATTTATTTCAGTTTTTCTTTACCAGTTGCTTTCTTACTAAAGGTCTACTGCACCAGTAGAGCCAACGTAGGGAGAAAGGGACAGAGCATGGGTAACATGGCCATACTTCCCCTTGATTTTGGCAAGTGACATGTCTGAATGGAGATGAAAATCTTTCATCTGTTACATATATGTAGGCAGATGTAGCTACAAGTACAACTATAGTACTCTTGTCTCTTCCTACATCTGCACTTCATGTGAAAGTAAAATGTTTCTAATGTAGAAGTACCCCAACAAAAGAAATGTAGTGAGTGTCAATGTGTACTTGAAATGATGCTGAGTCCATTATATTGGCATGAAGATATGTAGACTATACAATGCCCCATATGAGTAACTTACAAAGAATACTAAGAATATCAATAGTTACCCTTTCTCCTAGCCAAGAGGCCAGAATAGTAAACCAGCAACTAAGAGAACACATACACACACACACACACACACACACACACACACACACACACACACACACTCAATTGCTATGGAAGAGAAAGTTTAACAAATAGGGATATTTGTTTGTTGATTTTTTTTTGCCAGTAGTGGAGCTTGAGGTCAAGGTCTCATGCTCTTGTTTAGCTTTTTCACTCAAGGCTAGTGCTCTACCACTTGAGCCACATCTCCATTTCCAGCTCTTTGTTGGTTGATTGGAGATAAGAGTCTCAGATTTGTCTTCCCAGGTTGGCTTCCAACCTTGATCCTTAGATCTCAGCCTTCTAAGTAGCTAGGATTAAAGGTGTGAGCCACCTGCCCCCCTTCCCCCCCCCCGTCCGCTTTGATTTTCATATAGTATAATTGGGATAAATCCCCCTTGTACAGAGGTTGGGATAGCGGAATAACATTCATATTCATCATGTGGCATTGTGCCTCATACATACTGAGCACTCCATAAATGTTATTTTTAGTAATTATCTGTTTTGGTGATTATAAATCATTCTTCAGTGGAACAATTCTCCTCTCTGAGTAAAATAGTTTCTGGTGTAGTAGCTTAGCATTAACTTTGATATTTCCTGATTTTGGATTAATGCCATTATCTTACTCATTTTTTGTATGTTGAGTGTCTTATAGTACAGATTACTCTAATATACAACTGAGTTTTCAAGTGAGCAGTTTTCCAATAAAAACAGGAAACTGAGATTTTTAGATTTTCTTCATTGACTGTGTGCGTTTCGGTTATATAGATGCTCAATTATTTTTTGTTCTATTTGAGAACACATTTTCTTTTCACAATGGCAATTGTCAGGCAATATGAATTAAAATCTGAAAATGGATCTGTGGGGAATCCCAAATATTGGGTCCCCTTTCTCCATCCTAATGTTCACGACGAACTCCTTGTTGTTCAATAAGTTTTCGTGTCTTCTTTGTACAAGCCTTTTTTGCAACTTTACGAAGCTGTCAACCCCCACAACAATGGTGCTATATATAACAACTTTACATAAGAGAATAGAGGCTGGCCATTTTTAGAAAATGCAGGTGTCATGTAAGCCCCTTTCTCAAAGAATGAACTTAGCTCAGTTTCCTTTGAAGAACTACAGACTTGAAACTGAAAACTTTATTAATGCCATTGTCTCCTTGTATCAGCAGGTTCCAGAGAGATTCCTGGAAGTTGCGCAGATCACATTACGGGAGTTTTTCAATGCCATTATCGCAGGCAAAGATGTTGATCCTTCCTGGAAGAAGGCCATCTACAAGGTCATCTGCAAGCTGGATAGTGAAGTCCCTGAGATTTTCAAATCCCCGAACTGCCTACAAGAGCTGCTTCATGAGTAGAAATTTCAACAACTCTTTCTGAATGTATGAATAGTAGCAGTCCTCTTTGGATGTCCAACTTGTATGTGTTGAGATTTTGATTTCAGATATATGTGTGTGGGAGGCATGGATATGTTATGAAATCAGCTGGTAATTCCTCCTCATCAACTTTCTCTCATTTCCTTTGGTTTTCCATTACAAAGGGATGGTTCTCTTCTTTCTACCTTTAGTTTACTTTTGCCCAAGGCCCTTAACATTTGAAGACTTAACCTAGGATTGATTTTCAGGGAAAAAAAAAAAAGAGAAGAATGTTGGCATGTGTAAAGTTTCTCTTTGCAAGGAAGGGCATTTGTTCAAGATGCATCTGCTTGATTAATGGCATATTGTAATAATGAGAGGTGGAGGCAAATTGGTGACACAGCCCAACTCTACAGATGGTGATGTGTCTCTTGCTTTTACTGTTAAGCAGGTCTGAAAGTCTGAAAATTCAATGGAACCACTTCATACACTTAAAAACTTTGTTTGGTTTGGATTCATTAAGTAATTTTTCTTAATATGTTTAAAACTATTGCTGAGGGCAGATGAGCAGCTCACTTTTTTAAAAAAAACACCCTAAAAGACCAAATTTTAAAAGAAAAATCACCACTATCAAGCTTTTCCTAAGAGAACCCAACAGTAGGTTCTCCTGATCTAACCGGTTCCTAACAAAGGCAAAGCAATTGTTTTACAAAACTGAAGATGAGACCAGACACTTATACATGGTCCTCTAGCTCCCCATGTGTACTTTATAACAGATTCTTTATAATAAATGAGCTTAGATCCGTTGTCATAGAGAAAACTCTATAACTTGTAATCATTTCTATTTATTTTGCTTCAGATATTGAAAGGCACATAAGTTGCAAGGTGACTCTTGGCTCCAGTTTGTTTATATGCTTAAAAGGATTATCATGTCTGTTTAATTAACACTCTTTTCCTAAAACACTAATTTCTGAATACCTTTCTACAGTAAGGAATAAAAGCAATCCCAATTGACCATCAAATCCTTGGCTACACTGGAAGTTTGTTGACAGCTGGTATGGGATTTGATCTTCATTAGGGGATGAAGAGGAGCATGTGTGAGAATGACCTATTTGCATATACAATTCCACACTATGTTGATGGGTGACCACAGTGGGGACCGTCTAAATGTTTCTTCATTTTAGATAGAACATTGTCAAGCAACTGCTAATATCTCTTCTAAGACAGAAGCTAGTATTGACCAAAATGCACAAAGAGTGTATAGCATAGAAAAGTTTGGGGTTATCTCAGAAGACACAATTTCAGTACACCTAAGAAAGCTAGCTGCTATTTTGTGCTTTCTTTAATGGTTCTCCTCTTTTATCCTTTCTTTTATTTTGTATCAGTTTTCCAGTGATGTACAATGTCCTACACTTCCATTTAAAAATCTGAATTGCATTCACACTTGTTTTCTGAGATGGATTTTTGTGTACAGATGCAGCAAGAATTCATTGTTCACTCTAACTGTGTTTTCCAAGCCCTTCCTTCCCCTTAAGTAATTTAATACACACCTCCTAAAATGACACAGTAACAACTCTAGTATTTAAAACTCACAGAACAGAATTTTTCTAAACATCACACTTGCCTTTGGAGAATGCAAGTAGACCCATGTGACTGACTAGCTGAGCCGAGCATTATAGTTTAACTTCTTTTATTCTGCTGATGGGCAGGAATTTGGGACCCAATGATGGTTGGTACAAAGCCTTAAACTTGCTGACTTTAAATAACAGTGCAGTCCTGTGATGTTCTGCCTCATTCAAGAGGCCCTCACAGATGGAGGATGGACAAGGCTGATATCCCAACCCTTTCTTCACAACTAGGGCCATACTCATCTCCCAGCTCTCAACCTCCAATACATGCAGGCAGAACCAACAGAGATCATTTGTTGTTGTTCTGGATTTCTTTTTTTTTTAAGTCCAAATAATCAATACATTGGAATAGAATACTTTAAAAACAAGAGATAGGAATCCGATCAGCACACAATAGTGAAGTGATCTTGACCACTAGTCATACTCTTTCAACTTGATTCATAGGGAAAAGTATGACATTGTCATGTTGGTTTACAACTGAGTGTTTGCTGTTCCTGGAATTCACAGCAACAAAATATTGCCCTGGTCTTAGTACAAGGCCAAAGCTGTAGCGTATTCATTTGGGGAGATGGGTGGCTAGGTATACTCTTAATCTGGAGCAAGTGAAATATGGATTGGGATATATGTGGATTTTTAGTGTTACTTTCCCTTGACTGTCTAATTTAAGTAGACATATTAGGTGAGTTATGAATGCTCATAACCAAATGCCGATGTACCTATCTACTGAAAATCCCCTATCTACTGAAAATCACCATTCACTGAGGTATAGAAAATATTTCCAAGTAGAAGTTGCAACATGAGAATGAACTCTCTGTGTTCTGAAAATAGAACTCTATCTCTTTGCTTTTTGGTGGGTGCCCCCCCTCCTTTTACAAATATAGAATCTTGTGCCTCCCAGTGCATTGGAAAGTGACAAAAGCCTGTCTCTAGAAACTCCAATTTAACAGTTATTCTTTAAGGAAAAAAAAATCACGTCAAATCTTAGCTCAACTCTCACCAGGTGAAAACTGAGTCCATGAGAAAAAGTTAACTTTAAATGGCGAGATTATAAAAGATGAGGAATTGTTTACATAGGAAAAAAAAAGTCTAAAGTCTCTTGTTGAAATTCCACATTATCACTTGTTTTCTGCTAACCCTAATTATTTTTGCATGTCCACTTGAGGTTATAGTCTGTGCCTAGACTTAAAATGCACCAGCGGGGGGGATTTTAAAAAATCCTTCAAAATACTAGTTTTTCCCACAAGTACAATTGTTCTTGTGCCTTCTGTGGCTCTCGATTTCATCTTTTAACTTTCTTTCCAATTTCTACAGCTGCAATAAACACTAGATTTTCTTTTTCTTTTTCCTGGCTGTTTGACATAATGTTGATAGCTATGCATATTTTGTGTCTTTTTAAAAACAAAGCGGGAGAATACGTTTTTGAAGAAGAGAATTTTTAGAACAGTTTGATACCGCAAATTATTTTTTCCTCAATTGTTTGAGCAGCATTCGAGTTTTGAAAATTCTTGTAGAAGCCAATTTTTTGTAACTGTGGTGCAAATCTTGTGTTTTCTTAGCCTAATAAAAAGTAGTATAGAAGCAATATTTCATACCATGTGCTATGTATGTGTGTGCAGATGTGTGAACATGAGAACACATACACACATATACACACATGTAAAAATATACATATATATGCGTGTGAAGTGGAAAGCTTACCTTTTCCTCTCTAGATTTAAGAACCTATTTTAGGCATTTGTTATGTTTTGTGAAAAGAAGGTTCTATTTGCAGCCACCAAACATTTTAATTTTTACTGTCTCTCTGGCTGTTTAATGAGGAGTTTCACATTAAATGGTTAAAAAAATACATGGAAGATGTTAGAATGTAGTAGTTATTTAAGTCAATGTTCACCCACATATTTGCTTTGTGCCTCCGAGTATTATTTAATTAAAGTGTTTTATGTTTGCAGAATCGTTGTTACTGTACTAGGGATGTGGGTGAATATCATTAAAGAATTAAAACAACAACAATAACAAAAAGAAAAAGAAAGCAGAAACACTAAAGTGAGAGGGGAACTTTTATAAAGCAATGTAAATATTGATCCTTATGGCTGTTGTTACGTAAGACATGAGATTTTAATAAATAACGACATTCTCACATCTGTTTGACTTTATTAGGAACACTACAGTGACTGTACAGACAGTTGAAAGCATTCTTGAAAATCCTGCTCTCTCCTTTTAAAAGATAACAGTCTCTTTTATCAGATATCCAGGGCAAGGGTAATGCAGTTTCTGTAAATTTATGAAATTTCTTTTCAGTGTACATGAAGATGTTTAGTAAGTAGTTCCCCACACACACACTCCCTCTACATACAAACAGGTTAAGATTGAGTTGCAAAGCTCAAAGAGTTAGAAGCTTTCAAATTAGGAGGTCTCACAGAAGTAATCCTAAATTTCATCAGAGAAAATGTGGTTTACAGACTTCTCTGAAAGCAACAGTGTATATGAGGACAGTGGGAATTCTCTTTGCCATGTATATTATATTCATTGGTGTGAATAGTACAAATGTTTCCTTCTGGTACAAGCTCTGTGTTTGCAAATTACAAGAAGCATTGTTTTCAAAAAGCTCCCCTTAAAAAAATAATGTAACTGGTCCACATGAGTTAAACAGTTACTATTTTGCACTTATATATGTTATGTTGAAGGAAATGCAGCTTGTTTTCTGTAGATCTGTTGGTTGTAAACCATCTATAAAACTCAAGCTAAAATGCTTGAATTCAGAGCTGGGATCAAAACTGGTATTGGATCTTGACATCTTCTTACAATGATTCTTCTGCATCTATGACGGAATGAAGAAGCGTCTGGACTTTGAGTCTTTTCAGCTGAGCCCTGTCCTACTCGGACACCCCCTAAAATGCACAAAACTGACAGGAGCAGGAAAGGCCAACTGGCTGGCCTTCCTTTGTGAGAAAAACATTCACTCTGTGATTTTTAAATACTCTATTCTTCCACTCAAGTGGACAGATCGTTTGAAAACTGTGTATCACCACTTCAAATTTAGAACTAGGGGGAAAACAAGTATTTGGAGTTGGTCTCAGAGCCACCTATAAGAATCAAAGGTCATGGCTTCTCCCAATATTATCCCAGCCATTTCTCATCTGTATATAGTATAAACCGTGACAAAACACTGCCTTTATATTATTTAGCAATATGTTGTAAATAGCATTATGAAGCTCTTTTTTTGTAATAAAGACCCTTTGATTTGAATATAGTACAATAACTGATAAAGTCAATTTTTGATTTTCTTTTTTTTAGCTAGAGGCAATTTCAATTGTGGTTTTTTTTGTTATTGTCTATTGTTCTGAAGACTTTGCATAATTTATTGGTTTAATTTATCCTAATTTATTTGATGAAGGTGTACAATTTTGTATTACCAAGGATGTACTGTAATATTAATTGATATGATAAAAAACAATGAGACTCCCTGTCCATATTAAAAAGAAAATAAAAAAGGTGCAGTAGACAATTGATTTTAAAGTAAAAGTAAAATAAAATAGTTTGGCAGCTACTAAATTTTAAAACAGGAAAAAAAACACAAGTTGTTGTGGGGAGGGTGGGAAGGGGGTTTTACTTTGTGTGTTTTAAGCTTTTGTATACTTTCCAAACTTTTACCTTTTGCTTTGTACCACTTAAAGGATACAGTAGTCCAATTGCCTTGTGTGCCTTCCATTTTCTCTTAAACTGAATGTATGTGCAGTATATATGCAAGCTTGTGCAAAATAAAATATACATTACAAGCTCATGCTGTCTGATCTCTTTTTTTGTCAAAAAATGCATGATGTTTCAATTCTGGACCTGGACTAAATTGTAAGGCAATTGGCTAATTGGGAGTATAATATCAATATTCAGTTCAGAGTTTTCCTTTCATTACAGCTCTCTCTCTCTCTCTCTCTCTGTTTCCTTCCTTCTTCTTTCCTTCCTTCCTATACTAAACATACAGCACTATGCTTGCTGCCACGTGCTCTGCTACTTGAACTATGCTTCTAGCCCTTTTATTATTTTGTTTCGTTGAGTGGGGCTTGCTAACTTTTCCCAGGCCGGCCTCAAACTTAGGCTTTTTTTCTGTTTTCACCACTTCAGTAACTAGATCTACAGGTGGGAGCCAGTACGCCCAGCTTACAATTCTTAATTATATAAGTCCAGTGCCAATTATGTAAGTCCATCCCTGTGACACCCAGAAATGACCATTGTACTGCACATGTGTGGATGTTGCTATGAAACTTCTTAGTTTCAACTTTATTTAGCTTCACACTTAAAGCCAAAAGCTGTAGCTCAGTGAAATATTTTACTCTTTTTTTTTTTTTCGGTCGTGGGGCTTGAACTCTGGGCCTAGGCGCTGTCCCTCAGCTCTTCAGCTCAAGGCAAGAACTCTGCCACTTGAGCTACAGCACCACTTCTAGTTTTCTGAGTGCTTATTGGAAATAAGAGTTTCATGGACTTTCCTGCCTGGGCTGGCTTTGAACCGTGATCCTCAGGTCTCAGCCTCCTGAATAGCTAGGATTACAGGTGTGAGCCACTGGTGCCTGGCTAATATTGTACTCTTAATTCAACAGTTACTAATGTCAAAAGATTCAAAGGACAAAGAAAGTTGTTTCCAGTAGTCACATAAAGACAAATGTACTACTACTTCCAAGATGGGGATGGAGTGTTTATAATTATTTCTGCTCTGGTTGGACTCAGAGTGAAATTTTCTTTTTAAAAAAAAGGTTTTTAAAATGTTGGTCTGGACATATTATTGGCAGTATGTTCTATGCATTGAGAATATTGGTTTTCATGTTCTCTCACCTTGTTTCTTAAACTCATCTCTCCCTGCTTGGTTTAGATATGTTTCCATATATTCTTCCCAAAGTTTCATCTTGAAGAAAGGTAGTCTTGAGTGGGCAGCGTTGAGAAAGTCTAATGCAAAGTAAACTAGGTCATTCAGGGAGCTCTCCAAGGAAGAGATTAATATAGCTATCTCAGGACCCCTACTTGGTTCTGCCAAGAGCAAGTTGTTACTGATAGAGCACGCTTGTCCTCTGAATCCCTGACTTCCTGTCCTGTCTTACGACAATACTATGTATTGGTATGTATGTTCCTGCCATCTACAATGAGGGACTCATGGGGGCTGAACTGATGAGGCTGCCCAGTCCTGAACTTTCAACCCTGAAAACGGAGAGCTAAGTAAGTGTTCCTGGGTTCAGGTATTTCATTATAGCAACCCCAAATGGACAAAATCCTTGAATCAAGAATGAGAAGATCCAATAGAAGTCATGGACCTATGGGGGTTGATTCTACCATCCACCACTAGTGGACCATGAGAGACTGTCTTCTTAGTCTCTTGAATTTCTTCCTTAATGCTCACCTAAAATGATGAGAACATTACATTCAGATGCAATTGACATAAAGATACCTGGAATCAATACACTATCCAAATAATAATGGTATCCTCCCCTTTGAGTCCTTTTGTTGTTGTTGTTAAATCAATACCACAATTGTAAATTCGTCTTTCTAAACTATGCAGAGGAATGTGCCTCTACCCCTTTATACCATACTATGTGTTCTCTGAGTAGAGCAAAAAGAACCCTCTCTTTCCACTCATTCTTCCTGAGAAAGAAGGTATTTGTAATAAGATGGTTACTCTTTCATCTTCATTCAGTTACATAACACAGATCTGCTTCAAACAAGAGAGGATGATCCACAGAGTAAAGCAATCACTAAGAAGTTACCACAGGTAGAATTATTTTCTGATAGGAGATTTATTTAAAATGCAGCTTCAGATCTTTACTTTTGTGACTAGAAATGATCTATCAGCATTGATCTAGAATGATAGGTACTATCATTCCCAGCCCTGATCTGAACTCTTATCCAACATGTGCCCATTTTATAGTGGGACATGGGAGCTTCATGAGCTAATAAAAACTGGCAGGAATTTCTTTTTCATTCTATCCCCACCTAACCATAAATAATTTACAAGGTGTTCTTTAAAGCTAGCAGCTAAAATTCCACACTTATTCATCACAAGTTTACTAATACGTGCCGAGGAAAGAAACAGATGCCTTGAATAAAAGCCCTAGGAGCATATCAAATAATGGCCATATTTGCCAAATTCTGGGTCCATGAATGTTTTTGTTTCTATATGAAGGCAGAAAATGCAAGGGAGGTATGTATGAAGGCTGATAGATAAGAAAAAATATGAATGATACTAGAGAAATAAACAGTGGCATCTCCCTTTTTGAACAATATAACCTTCTAGAGAAATAGCTAGGCCTGGGTTGACAATGTGAAGAGCGTAACTTTGGAAACCACAGAAAAAGACATCCAGCAAGAATTGATGCAGGCATCAGAAGACCTGCCTCCCATCAAATCAATCCAATGTTTGAGTGTCCCTGGACAATTACAAGGACTTAAAGGCTAAAGGATTGTTCAAGTTGGCACTCTTATTCTGTCAACTTTCACTGAAAGGTTCCTAGAAGCAAGGACAAACACTTTTTTAGAATATTCTCGCTTCTCATGAAGAACTTAGGTCAAAGAGCAAAGCAAGAGCAAAATTTTAAAGGATTCCCGATGACCCTTCTTTCCTTGACCTTGCCATCCATTGGGTGCTCATGTTGTCCCAGCCTTCTCTCTCTTCACAGTGACAAGCTGTGTAGGAAAGCATTAGATCTCAAGGGTTTGAGTATGTTGACAGCAGTGCATGCTTAAAATGATACAGGGTTTGGAGGAATATGTGCATATCACATGTCATCTGAATAGAACTGATTAGGGACTGGAAGCCTTCTTCACCACACATAAAGCTGGGTCTTTGGGTGGTATCACTCTTGGCTCACCTTGCCCCTGGTGTGATCTCCCCAGGTTTTTCTGTACACAGCTTCTCTTTTCTTCCTCTCCAGGTCTTGTCTCCTTTTTGGGGGGGGTCCGGTCGTGGGGCCTGAACTCTGGGCCTGGGCACTGTCCCTCAGCTCTTCAGCTCAAGGCTAGCACTCTACCACTTGAGCCACAGCGCCACTTCCAGCTTTTTTTCCTTTTGCTTATGTGGTGCTGAGGAATCGAACCCAGGGCTTTATGCATGCAAGGCAAGTGCCCCTTCCCAGCCCCGTCTTGTCTCCTTTAGATGGT